TCATCCGTATTTACACCCTCTCCCCATCACTCACATCACCGCCTGAGCTCTGCCTCCTGTCCCATCCCCACCCCTCCGTCCGTGGAAAAACTGTCTTCTATGAAACCGGTCCCTGGTGCCAAAAAAAATTAGGGACCACTGCTCTACAAAGTACATAATAAATTTTCAATAAGTATTTTTTGTGATTAATAAGCAGATGAGCAAATGAGAGATAAGATAAAAAATGAAATGAAATAAGACTTAAAATGAGTATGGAGTGGGGAGGGGAAAAAAAGTCAGGTGGTAGAAGGCCAGAAACGAGAGATTTAGGATCATCTAAAATTCTGAGTGCGCGCAACTGGAGTGCAGCCCCACTCCTGCGCTGAGTGACTTTATTTCATTCATTGAATTTTTAGCTCTAAGATTTCTGTTTGATGTTTTTTTAAAATGATATCTATCTCTTCATTGAATTTCTCATTTAAGTCATGAACTTTCTTTCTCATTTTTTTAAATTATCTACCTGTATTTTCTTATATCTCAGTGAGTTTTCTTTTTAAGTTATTTTTCTGGCATTTTGCATATTTCCTTATGATTGGGATCTATTTCTGGAGAATTACTGTATTGCTTGGAGGTGTCATGTATCCTTGCTTTTTCATAGTTGAAATGTTCCTACCTCGATTTTCACACATCTGGCGGAAAAGTCACTTGTTTTAACTTTTTTGGAGTAGGTTGCATAAAGAAAGATTTATTTGTATGAATGGTCTGGAGGTGTCAGTTTGGTGGGGTGCATTGGCCTTGGTTCTAGGTGGACACAGTAGTGTAGTCTCCATGTAGTTTCTTCAGCTGTAATCCACACTAGTGATGTTTACAAGTGTCTCAATGGCCTACGTTAGAAACTTTGTGTTGGCAGTGCTGTAGCTTTGCTGGAGGTGGACTCAAAGGACTGTTTCTCAAGTCAGGGGCTCATGTATTCATGTGATGGGTTGGACAACTTTGGGTCTGTTCTACTGGAGTTGGGGACCCAGGACTGTTCCCAGGAGCATGGGAACATGGCTGCTTTGCTTGCATAGATGTGGTGTCTGCTGGAGGAGACCCCAGGGGCTGTTTCTGAGGTTTATGACATGGCTACGCTTAGCTCACCATGGGATGTGTGTCTTCTGGGGGGACCCATGAGGCTGTTTCTCAGTCCTCAGACTCTGGTGCATTGATGCTTAGCTGTCCTGCGGTTGTGTCTGTCAGGTGTGGCCCATGATGCTATTTCTCAGACCTGGAATGTGGATGCAAGCCTGTTGGTCAGCTCAGGGGTACACCTGACAGGAGCAGACTGTGGGGCTGTTTTTCAGGTCTGATATGCAAGCACACAGCTACTCAGCTGGTCTGGGAGCATGTCTGCATGTGTGGAGGTGCAACAAGGTTGTTTCTCAGGCCTGGGACATGGGCATGTAGCTGCTCTGTCAGCATAAGGGCAAATCAGCTCCTCAGAGGCTTGGGGACCTCTCCCACTCAGGAGTGGGACACAGTAGTTTGGCTGGCTAAAGAGCAGGTTCACCCTGGGAAGAGCTGCCAGGCTGCTCCTCCAGCTGGAAGTCTGGCCCATGGGAGTTGGGTTCCCTGCTGTGCAGGACGAGAGTCACAGCTGACCCTGGACCCAGGCTCCATACAGCTTGGATTGTGGCATTCGGCCACCCATGTGAGGTTGGTAGAGTAAAGATAATGATTTGCCCAGTTCTGACAGTGAGGTGTTGAAGTCCCTGGCAATTATGATGGTACTATTTATTACTTTGTTTAGCTCTAGTAAAATTTGCTTTATGTATCTGGAAGTTCCTGTATTAGGTGCATATATATTTAAGATCGTTACATCTTATTGTTGAATTGCTCCTTTTACCATTATAAAATGACTTTCTTTGTCTTTCTTTACCTTGTTGGTTTAAAGTCAATTTTATGAGAATGGCTACACTTGCTCTCTTTTGATTTCTATTTGTGTGGAATTTTTTTTTCCATCCTTTCATATTGAGTCTGTATGCATGCTTCTGGTTTAGATGTGTTTCTTGGACACAGCAGATATTTGGGTTGTGTTTTTTCATTCATTTAGCTAGCCTATGTCTTTTAAAAGGAGCATTCAGAGTGTTAACATTAAGTGATAAAATTAATATGTGGGATGTTGATCTATTCATCATGTTGGGTAGTACCTTATTGCTTGTTTTACCTCTTGTGCTACTTTTTTATAAGAGTTGTGAGTTTTAAGAGTTTGGGGGTGATTTTGCCCTGGTGGTGTCTATTGGGCTGATTCATGTATAATGCAGTTCTGAATATTTCCTGCAGGGTAGGTCTGGTCATGGCAAATTCCCTCATTGTTTGCTTGTCTGGAAAAGATTTAATTTGTCCATCAATTGTGAAACTTAGTTTTTCAGGATACAAAATTCTAGGCTGGCAGTTGTTCTGTTTAAGAAGATTGAAGGTGAGGCTCCAATCCCTTCTGGCTTGTAAGGCTTCCACTGAGAAGTCTGAAATTATCCTAATGGATTTTTCTTTGGAGATTATTTGTTGTTTTTGTCTTGCTGCTTGCAGACTTTTTACCTTCATTTTGACTTTGGCCAGATTGATTACTATGTGTCTTGGAGATGTCCTATTTGCTATGAATCTTCCTGGTGTTCGATGACCATCTTGTAACTGTATGTCTGAATCTCTGGTGATACCAGGGAAGTTTTCCTCAATAATTCCCTCAAATAGGTTTTCCCTACTTTTAGCTTTCTTCTTCTCCCTCAGGGATTGCTATAATTCAAATGTTAATTTGTTTCACATAGTCCCACATCTCTCTCAGTGATTACTCAGGCTTTTTTTATTCTCTTCTTTGCCTGTTTGAATGACTGGATTATCTCAAGAGCCTTGTCTTCAAGCTCTGAGATGATTTCTTCTCCTTGGTTTAGTCTGTTGTTGAAGCTTTCTGCTGTATTTTGAAATTCCTTAAATGGCTCTTTCATTTCTTTAAGTTCTATTATATCATCTACCTCTTTAGCAACTTTTTCACTGACATCCAGAAATATTTTTTTTCGCTTCTTTTTGTTGGTTTTCAACTTTCTCTTCAATTCCATTCATCTTATTTGTCATCTATGTTCTGAATTCTATTTCTGTCACTTTGGCAATTTCCTTGTGGGTGGAGTCCACTACTGTAACTCCATTGTGATCCCCTGGGGACATCAAACTATTTTTTTTTTTCATGTTGCCAGGGTTCTTTTTCTGGTTTCTTCTCATCTGGGTCCCCTTCACTTGGCTCTGGGTTAATAGGATTGCAGGGCACTTGTTCTCCTTTGCTGGGAACTCTCCTTTTTACTTAGGGGAAGGGGGAGGACTCTAGATGGAGCTTTTAGGTCCTACTCTGGAATGTTGACCTGTCAAGGGAGGGACAGGTGCACTGAGAGGCTGTGGAACAGCTGTTCCATTTTAACCTGTTCCCCTGTGATTGTCACAGTTCAAGCCAGTGCTGGATGATTTCGTGTGGAGTACAGGGATGTTCCTCAGCTCATTGCTGGAATTCGATTAAACAAAAAAGCTTCTGCACAGCTAAGGAAATGATCAGCAGAGCAAATAGACAACCTACAGAATGGGAGAAAATATTTGCAAACTATGCATCTGATAAAGGGTTAATATCCATAATCTACAAAGAACTCAAGCAAATCAGCAAGAAAAAAAACAAACAATACCATTAAAAAATGGGCAAGACATGAACAGAAGCTCTTCGAAAGAATATAGACAAATGGCCAATAAACCTATGAAAAAAATGCTCAGTGTCACTAATCATCAGGGAAATGCAAATTAAAACTACAATGAGATATCACCTTATCCAAGTTAGAATGTCTCTTATTAAAAAGTTGAAAAACAATAGATGCTGGCATGGACACAGAGAGAAAGGAATGCTTATACACTATTGATGGGACAGCAAATTAGTACAACTTCTATGGAAAACAATATGGAGAATCCTCAAAGAATTAAAAATAGACCTACCATTCAATCCACCAATCTCACTACTGGATATCTACCCAAAGGAAAAGACATCTTTTCATCAAAAAGACACCTGCACTTGAATGTTTATTGCAGCACAATTTGCAATTGCAAAGATGTGGAATCAACTCAGGTGTCCATCAGTTCATGAGTGAATTAATACAATGTGGTACATGTATACCATAGAGTATACTACTCAGCCATAAAAAGAGTGAACTAGTGCCTTTTGCAACAATCTGGATGGCACTGGAGACCATTTTCCTAAGTGAAGTATCTCAAGAATGGAAAAACAAACCACACGTGCACAGAGGGAAGTAAAAGTCAAAATCAAGCAGAGGGTAGGGGGAAGGAGAGGAGGGGCAAAAACCTACCTAACAGGTACAACGAACACTCTTTGGGTGATGGGCACACTTATAGCTGTGACTCAAACATTACAAAAATGATCCATGTAACCAAAAACATTTGTATCCCCTTAATATTTTGAAATTAAAAAAAATAAAATACAACTTGTGCAATTTTGCAAAAAATGTAAAAAGAGCTATTGATACTTATTCCAAGTCAATATGTATAAATCAAGATTCCCTCATCAAAACAAGATATATGTTCACCTTTCCTTTTTGTTTTAAATATTTATTGTGGAAATATTCAAACACACCTATATTTAGAGAACAGTATAATGAATCCACGTGTCCTTCATCTTGGTTCTATAATTATCAACCTGTGGCAAATTGTCATTCTTTGTACACTGGCAGTCTGACTCTGCCTTACCCTATACTTAGGAACAAATCCGATGTAGTATATTGAGTCATGTCTTGAGCCAAATGCTAATCTATTTGCACCCATATATCTTTGCCTTTCTTTTTATTTTTTCTTTTAGTTTTGCTTCTCAAATGAATTGACTCCTCCAGAAGATAAATTGTGAAGGTCAATGCTACATACAACCAGCTCAAAGGGAGGAGACAGACCAGCAGTGCTTCCTGCCCTCCCCTTCTTTGCTCTCACCCCATAGCTCCATAATCGCTATGGGTGAGGCCCCGCTGCATAAGAGGACGACTCTCCTGCTGCTCTGCTTGGAGGTGTTTCTGTTCCTTTCTGCATGGCCCCAGATTGGACAGGCTCAATATCACAGCCCCCCAGAAGTGGTGATACCTTTGAGATTAACTGGCACTGATAGAGGTAGAAAGACTTCAGGCTGGCTCACCTATAGCCTGCATTTTGGGGACCAGAGACACATTGTCCACATGCAGGTCAATAAGTTTTTGGTATCCAGACACTTCTGGTCTGTGTTCACCTACACAGACCAGGGTATTCTCCTTGAGGACCAGCCTTTTGTCCAGAATGACAACTACTATCATGATTATGTGAAAGGGGACCCAGAATCCCTGGTTGCTCTTATCACCTGTTTGGGGGGCTTTCAAGGAATGATACAGATAAATGACACTACTTATGAAATCAAACTCAAAAAGTTCTCTACCACATATGAACATCTGATATATAGGTTGGACAGTGAAGAGACACAGTTCCCACCCATGAGATGTGGATTAATAGAAGAAGAAATAACATGACAATTGAAGTTTCAAGAGAGTGATAATTCCACTCTGAAGCAAATTGTCTTTGAAGAAATATATACCCACACATGGTTTATTGAATTTGTAATGGTGATGGACAACGAACGATTCCTTTACATGGAAAGTAATGTGTCAAACATGCAGGACCAAGCAATCTTGATGGCTCATGAAATGGACGTGCTTTATATACAACTTACTGTGGACGTGGTTTTAACAGGACTTGAGATCTGGACAACTCAAAACCCCATGGCCTTTGTCAAAATAGGAGGTGGCCTGGATAGTTTTTGCAATTGGAAGGCAGCCAGCTTGAATTCCCGTGTTCACAGTGATGTTGCACATCTTATTGTAAAACGCTCATTTGATTCATTTCGTGGCTGAGCCTATATTGGAGCAATATGTTATGCTGACAAATTTTGTGCTATTAATTCTTTCCCACCAAAAGTAGCAGAGAGTAGTTTTGCAATCACACTAGCACATGAGCTTGGTCATAATTTGGGTATGCATCATGATCGACCTTAATGTTATTGTGGGAGAAAACGGTGCCTAATGTATGCATACAAAGCAGAGACAGATAGATTCAGCAACTGTAGTTATAATAGCTTTTTAAATACCATGAACCGAAGGACATGCTTGCGTGATATACCAAGTACAGAAAGTATCTTCACAAAGCAGCGCTGTGGGAATGGTGTAGTTGAAGGAGAAGAGCAGTGTGACTGTGGATCCCTACCATCGTGTACAAAAGATCCATGTTGCTTAGCAAACTGCACTTTCAAATCTGGGGCTACTTGTGCTTTTGGGCTTTGTTGCAAAAACTGCAAGTTCATGCCATCAGGCAGCGTGTGTAGAGAAAAGTCCAACGAATGGGATCTTCCAGGGTGGTGCAGTGGAACTTAATACACGTGATGTGTATCTGCAGGATGGGATCCCTTGCTTGGGCAATGGCTACTGCTATGAGAAGAGATGTAATGACCATGATGAACAGTGTAAGAAAATTTTTGGCAAGGAAGCCAAGAGTGCAAATTTGAGTTGCCATTAAAAAATGAACGTTCAAGGTGATCATTTTGGTCACTGTGGTTTGAAGGTCGTTCGATATGCAAAATGTCCAGCCCCAGATGTCCTGTGCGGAAGAGTTCTGTGTGAGAGCATAGGAGAAATTCCCCTTTTGAAAGATCATACTACTGTGCGCTGGACCCACGTCAATGGTGTCAACTGCTGGAGTACTGACTATCGTATTGGGATGACCATACCTGATATTGGTGAAGTGAAAGATGGCACAGAGTGTGGTTCAGAACATATCTGCATGCACAGGAAGTGTGTCCATATGTCACATTTGAACAACACTTGTTCATCTGAGACCTGTAATTTGAGAGGGGTCTGCAACAATAAGCATCACTGCCATTGTGACTATGAGTGGGACCCCCCCAAGTGCATGTCCAAAGGCTACGGGGGTAGTATTGACAGTGGCCCATCCCCACGGAGAAAAAAAGAGGAGATGATCAGGAAGAGTTCCCCACTGCTATTTTTATGGATTCCTGTTTTGCTTTTTATTTTTCTGTGTGTGTATTTGATTGTGGATAATGTGCAGAAAAAGAAAAGACGATCAAACTTCACCTGAGACACAAGAGCAAAATGTGCAAAGTTCACCTGAGTCAAGAAAGGAAGGTATTCAACCTTCACCTGAGACAAAAAAGAAAGGTGTTCAAACCACCTGAGAAGAAGAAAGGTGCTCATACTTTAGCAAAGCAAAAAAAGGGAAAGTCTCCAGTTTCAAAAAGGACTAAGCATTAATGAAATTTTCCGTATGTTAATTTTCACTTTTTCTGATGAGTAGAAGGCATACGCTCTAAAATAACAGTAAAAATTGCAGTATAAGAGTGAGCAATATGACGACTCATTTCCCCCACAAGAAAAGAGCGAGGCGATGAACGATCCGCTAAGATTTGACTGGAGTGCCAAAAGGGGAGCACTGGAGTGCCACGGGGCAGGGGACACGCACCCGCAGTGATTGGAAGTCCAGGAGGGCAGTGTAGAGGCACCAGCCTCTGCAGCCCCATCTCCCTTTGCCTGAGTCTGGAGGGACTTCCCATGTCGGGGAAAAGGTAAGCAGAGGATCCCAGCGGCCCCTATTGCCACCACAGACACCTCCAGTCCTTACTACAGGAGAATCCCTCGGTCCTCACAAGCCCTGAGCCAATTTTTACATGCCAATCATATCTCAATAAGGCTGGGGAAGAAAAGACAAAGTATAATATTCTAAATGTAATCCCAAATCCCCTAATTACCAAAAAATGAACTTAAACAAAAGCTCTACAATGAGTGCGATGCGCACCTCCGGGGGAATGGACACACCTGAAGCTCGGACTTGGGGGGGAGGGAGGGTAAGGGCATCATACGTAACCTAATCATCTGTACCCCCATAACATGCTGAAATAAAAAATAAAAAAAAAAAAGCTCTATCTAGATCAATGGATAGAGAGTTTCTGCTTTAAGGCTCTTTTTTTTTTTAATCTTGTGCTAAAGGAAACCATTTATATACTGCTATATATTTTCCACGGTCTTCTATGTTTCCCCATTTTTGAGCATAATGTGTTACCAGCTACTGAAAAAACTATCTCAAATACTACTGATTGAACTAAATTTGGCTTTTATAAAAACCACATGGGAAAAAATACTGATATAGTCATAAATGGTGCAGAAACTATTAATACAACCAATTGTCGTTTTCCAAGCTATGCTTACACTTCGGCAGAGAAAGACTACAAGGAACTTTTTCTTAAAACTTGCTTTGTGGGTTTCTCTTTACTATCACAAAGGATTTTCCACATATCATTAATAAGTTAAATATAAACTGAAATAATGCCCTTTTCAAAACCTTCCCCTGCTGCATATCATTATTTATAAAATAACTGGCCCCATTTAGAGTTAGAAGGAAAAAGGCAGAGCAGTAATTGAGATTATTTCAATTTGCTATAGTAAATTATATATCTGCCAGGTCTCCAGGCTCCAAAACTGCATCACTATAGAAGCACAAGAGAATTTTCAGCTTTAACTACTCTCCCATTTAATTTATAAAATATATGTGAAAAAGAAACTCTTTTCCTGTGTGATGAATGTATTTTATGATTTTTTAGTTCAAAATATAAAATTTTGAAACCCTTTTTTGCTTCAAGGCAAAAGTATATGCCCACTAAAAGTATTCTAGAAACAATTTTTTTTTCGTTGAGGCCACTCTTGAAGTAAAAACTTCACAATCTACAATGTTCATCTAGGATCCAATGAATGCTAGGAACTGAGTATAGGAAAGATATAGCAAACCTGAGCCCGAGTTCCTGGAAGCTTATCATTTAGTTAAGACGAGAAGTTATATAATAAGAACAAAACAACTTACATATGATATTATGCTTAGGTATAATATAATCTAATATATAGATGTATCATATAATGATTACTATGTGCCAGGCATCTGCCCAAGCACTTTATATATATTAACTCATTTAATACTTACAACAACTTTGCATGGTGGTTATAATTATTATGATTATTCCTGTTTTACAGATGAGGAAATTGAGGACAAAGAACAAAGAAATGGTAGAGATATCATGAACCCAGCCAGTCTGTCTTCTGGGTCAATGCCCTTATTTACTGTACTTTACTGCCTCTCCTAGAAGGGCAAATGTGACAAATGTTAGGCACCAAGTTAGTTACACACATAATAATTGCAACAGAAATGCAGAGAATGGGAAAAAGTCACTGTGGGCTGAGATAGCTTGGAGGATTTCAGGATTAAAAGAAGAATGGGGCTAAGTCTTCTGTGAACAAGAAAAAAAAAGGTGCTTTAAGCAATAGAAACTCAATGAACAAAAAATAAAAATGAGAGTAAGTTTGTAAAACTTGGGGTACGTCATCCATATAAATATCTTATAAGCACCTCAGACTCTATATGCCATCTTGAGTATTTATAATAATATCTTTCATTTGTTAGCTCCATATCCCTGACTAATACATAATCTCCATGGGAACAGGATCTTGTCTGCCATTCTATGACTATATTCTTAGTGTTTGCATTGTGTCTGGCACATAAGAATAATTACGTGTATGAATGAATGAAAGTTTAAAATTTGGCTCAGCCATTCTTTTCAAGAACAAACACAAATAAATAAGCAAACTTAACTCTCTTTATGTCTTCCCTATTTCATAAATGGCATTCACAAGTTCAGTCAAAAAACCTAAAAACACCTCTGACTTATCCTTCCCTTTCATTACCACTTCCCAAACATTCAATCATACAATTCTCTCCTTCTTTATTCTACTTAGCTTTCTAATTCTTCCACTTCTCTTTGTTCCCACTGTCATTACTGCTCTCTGACAAGCAAATGTTTTGCTTGAACTAATGCTATAGTCTCTGACTCATCTCCCTGCCCTTGATTTATTTTCCAGTTCATTCTCTACATTGTAGTCAGAGTAAGTTTCTATAATACAAATCTGATTACATCATTCTCCTCCTCAGCATTATTTATTAGGCTCCAAGTGTCCTCAGAATAAAATGTAAGTTCCATCGCATGTCCTAGAATGTCCTTCATGGACTAGCCACTGCATAATTCAGTAACCCCAGCTTCACAGCAAACCTCATCACCACCACTACTACATCTCTTGCAAGCATACATTTTACCACTAATGAATTTCTTTGAGTTCATAGAATGGCTTTTTTCTCTTGTTTCCTTGAGTTTTTTCAACAATCAATCCTTTCCCTGAATTTCTCCTTCCTTTCTGCTCCTTTCACCTTGTTCAATACTATTTATCATTTAGGTCTTGGCTTTAACATCTCTTGATTTAGAAACTCTTCTATAACTTTCAAAATAATGCTAATTGCTTGCATATGACCCTACTCTTATATTCTTCTATGGGCAGTCTTTATCACCTTTCTGGTAATTGTTGGTTACTTGCTAAATTATCTCTAAGACTAAAAGTCTGTAAGAGTAGAGACCTGTGTTTTATTACTCACTATTTTATCTCCCATGTCTAACCAAAATTGG